GTGCTCTGGCCCAGATGAGTAAATGTGGTGCTGTACATCAAATCTCTGAAAGCTGCCCACTCCTTTTTTGCTTTACTGTTGCCAACTGTATGTTGGCTCAGCTTTCCCTCTAAGTTAGCAACACACTGTTCAAGCTTAGAGAAGTACTCTAATTTGTTGACATTAAGTCTTCTGACAGTTGGCTTGTCTTGGGGCTGCAGCTTTTGTTGAATGCGAATATTTAGCTTGGAAAAGATATGTCCATGATCAGTTCAACACTCTGGGCCACACATTGCCTTCATGACTCTCACATCCTGTCTGTCTCTTCTCCTTACAATGACATAGTCTATTAAATGCCAATATTTGCTATGAGGGTGCACCATGAGGTTTTATTGCCGAGCTGAAGTTTATTTAATTGAAGTTTAGATAAATAGAAGATGGTACAGGTGATGAGGTCATGAGATGCATAAATCTTCAGTGGTAAGTGACCATTGCTGTTACTGTTTTCCAACTCCATTCCTCCCAAGGATTCTCTGCCATGTCTGATAGTCTGTTACTACTCTGGTGTTAAAGTCACCCAGAATGACAAGCTTGTCTTCTTTTGGCACATTAAGGATGAGGATCTCAAGGTCTTCATAAAATTTTTCTTTGACTTCATTAGAGTTCATCATAGTGGGAGCATATGTACTGATTATGGTGGCATGGCACTTTCCTGCAAGTGGCAATCATATTGTCATAATTCACTCCTTTTGGGAGGTATAGAGGCTTGTTGACTAGATTAGTTTTGATTGTGAAACCTATGCCAGCTCTACAGTTCTCCCCATCACTATAATCACTCTGACTCCAGCTCTGACTTCAGTAAGCTAGCCTTTATTTGCCAGCCTTGTTTTATTTAGATGGGATACCTGCTGAGTTTTCTTGCAACAAGAACTGTTCGTCTTTCAGGTCTATTAGATTTCTTGTTGCCCATAAATGTGAACACATCCCATGTACCAAAGGTGAGTAGAATCATCTTTGCGAAAGTTTTTGTACTTTTTTTTGTATTTCCACCATAGAGTGGGATCCCCACCTTCTGCAATAAGCAGACCGGGGTTAGGTTAGGTGAAGCAGACAATTTTTAGGGTACCTTTTCTAGCCCCTTTCTCATGTTAGGAGGTAAGCAATGTGGTCCTTACAAAGGGCTGCTCAGACATCTAGGGGCATGCCAAATCTCACTGCTGCTTCAGTCCAGTGAGAAAATGACCCTCTGGTCTGGGCCACCTATATGCAGGGTTGTGACTATGGCTCCCAGTGTATTTGTACCTGTTGCTTTATCATTTGGCCATTGCCACAGGACTTTGAAGTAGGTAAAAATGGTAAAAACGTATGGGTGATGTCATTTGACTTCATACATTTGTTCATTGAATTCATGCACAAAATGGATTTAAGTGAGGCAGAATTGCATGAAGACATCAGCCCCACTCTCTCTTTCAGAGTCATTGAATGCCACTGGCAATACAAAAGTCAAAACAACTGGCAATGGTTGGGATGCAGCGGATGACCTTGGCATCTTTGATGTCTGATTAAGTTCTGAGTGCTCCACAGCCCCTGCCTTCCACTGCCATCATGGTCTGTTGGAACAAATTGTTCACATCTGCCCATTCTGCCGGGGGAAGTCTTCACATGCATGGGGTAGACACCCCCCTGACTCACTGATGTCTAAGGTCAGTCGATTACCCTTGATCTCATTTAGCCTGTCTGCTGAGATGGTTTTACCAGGGTATGGCTAATGCCCACGCTACAGCTTCTTGGAGCCATAGGTGAGAGCTGGGTTGCAGGTGGGCACCAAAAGTGGAAAGCAGCCCTGAAAAGGCTTCAGCAGCCCTCAGCAGAGGTACTAGTCTTTCCTGAACACTCTACACCCCCCTGGCCCATAGTAGGCTTTTAATAAGTGCTTTGCTTTTTTGGGTGAATGAACAAATGGATGAAGAAAACAAGTGTGTAGTCTACCTTCAAGAAATAAACCACAAGTCCCCCTGACTTCACCGGTGAAAAGCTAAAGCAAGGAGGGATGTAGCTTTTATTTCTGTTCAGTTTGACACCCAATTTCTCTTCCAGTTTGATTTCCACAGCAAAGGGAACTACTGCATGGAAAATAGGTGCTTTATGTAGCTGCCATCCAACTATGATATAGGGGAAAAGTCTTTGGTACTTTGAAGTTTAGGAATTGGGTTATGTGTAGGGTGGGCTATCACCCCAAAGTAGGCCTCAGGATGTTAGGACACTAGGGAAAGTTCCTAGGGGTTCAAGGTCATGATTGCTTTTTTCCTATGAGAAGAAGCCCTGTTGTCGTTGGGGTGGGGTGGGTGTTGGCCCGATCTTTGCCTCTTTCCTATAAGAATATTCCCCAAAGCCATGGGCTCTCTTTTCTGTCTATAGTTACTTTCTTGGTGGTCTCATAAATCCCCCAAGGATTCAATGATCACCTCTACATGGTGATGTACATGGTAATACACCTCTACATGACTCTCAGATCTCCATATCTAGCTCACCTCTCTCCTGTATTCCAGTCCCTTATTTCCAGCTGTCCACTGGCTATCTCCACATAAATGCAGGCAACTCAAAACTCCCTATATTCAAGATGGAACTTATAACATCATCCCTAAACCCCACCTCCAAACTTCCCTATTTCTCTCGAGAAGACCACTGTTCTACCAGTGCCTTGTTTGCACAGTGTTGAAGGTATCTTTACTCTTCCCTCTTCATTATCTTCCATAACCAATTAATTGTCTGGTCTGGTCACAGCTACTTCTGCAACATCCTTTGTATTGGTCCCTTCCTTTACACCATCCTGTTTGGGCCCTCATCAATAGCCTCCTTTCTGTTTCTCCTCTCTCTGATCCATCCTTTTTACAACTGCTAAATTATCATCCCTAAAGCCCAGACCTGACTATTTTAACTCAAGTCCTCGATAGTCTTCAGTGGCTTATTGCATTTAGGGTAAAATATAACCTCCCTCAGCCTGGCATTTTGAAAGCCCCTCAATAAGCTAATTCCTCCTAACTCTCCAGTAATGACTGTACTTAAAACAAAATTTAAGAGCTACCATTAATAGAGCACCTTAAGATTTTCAAAGCATTCTTCTCATTTGATCTTCAAAATCACCTTGGGAAGCACTATTATTATCCCCATTTTAGAGACAGAGAAACTGAAGAAAACAGATGATGTGACTTGCCCAGAGTCCCACATCTGAGTGTCTAAGACAGTTCTTGAACTCAGTTCTTTCTGACTCCAAGTCCAACATTATTCTGTGTTACCTAATTGCTTCTAGGACATATGCGTCTGGATATTTTGTACCACTCTTTCATGTACTTTGCTGGAGCCAAATGACCATAGTACTGCCTGAACCTGATTTGCCATCTCCCATCTCTATATCTTCTCACAGTCTTCCCCCCAAATTCCTAGAACACATTCCCCCTCACCTCTGCCTCTTGGAATCCCTAGCTTCCTTCCAGAAGCAGCCTAGGTGCCCTTCTCCTAAATGAAGTCTTCTCATCCCTCCAGTTATTAGCGCTCTCTTCGTCTTCACGTGAACTTGGACATACTCAAGCATCCATCTTCTAACCTTCCCCCTATTCCTGAGTAGAACATAAATTCTGTGAGGGCAAGGGTTATTCAGCATTTTTTTATCCATTACACTTAGCCTTGCCCAGAGGTGGTTAATAAATGGAATGAGACAGCACAGTTGGGGTGGGGTGGGGGTAGCAAAGAGGGCCAATATCAGGTAAGGGGATGGCATTTCCCTAATAAAATCTGAGTTTAGGGGATCTCAGTCCTTGGCATACTCAAAAGACTACTTTATGGCCTCAGGACTGGTGTAGTATTGTACAAATGATGTCAAAGGATGGCTAAGATGGGTGGAAGAAATCTTGAGATTAAATCTAATCTAAATTTGCAGTGACTTCAGCAATTAAAGGTTGAGAGAGCAAATGCTGGAGGAACATGAGAATCAAAGGATATAAGTCTAAAGTAATAGGGCTCTTATTTTTAACAGGCAAGATAATATTATATAAAACTGAAAAAAAAATTGCCTTTACTGCATGAGGTAAGGTTTTACTTTAACCTAACACAAAAGTATGTGTAATTATGTAATGAGGAAGATTTTGCAATCTTACAGGCTTGTGACTCTTGGTTTAAATAGTTACTGCTGTAATCAATGGGTGGTCTTTCATGTAGGTTGTTTAGAAGGGGAAATGCAGGTACTTACTAAAAAGGGTTTAGTCATATAACTTTGGCTATTGAAAGGGCTGAAGAGATCTAATTAAACCTCACCACATTTCAGGTGAGGAAACTGAGGTTCCAGCATGTTGTCAGAGAAGAAACAGGTCAAAGGAACAGAAGCTCCCTAGAAGCAAGATTTCAGAGAAAAGACCTTCCTCAAAATTTGAGATGATGGGATGGGCTGCCTTAGGAAATATGTTCTTCATCCCTGAAGGTTTTTAAGTGGAAGCTGGATGATCAGTTGCTACAAAGGATAGGTTAGATGAGATGACCTCAGAGGCCTTTTCTAGTTCCAAGGTTCTATGATGTTCAACGATTGCCCAATATGCATCAATATACATCACAGTTGTTGGTGTTTGGTTGTTTCAGTCATGTGTGAATTTCTGTGACCCCATTTGCAGTTTTCGTGGCAGAGATACTGGAATGGTTTGCCATTTCCTTTTCCAGCTCACTTTACAGATGAGTATTAAGTGACCTGCTCAGAATCACACAGCTAGTGTCCGAGATCAGATTTGAACTCACGATGATGAAGTCTTTCTGACTTCAGACCCGGTGCTCTATCCACTGCGCCACCTAGCTGCCCAATATACATCATTAGGGACAGAATTCCTGATACCCAGGGTAGTGCTTCCTGCCTTACATGATCCTGCCATTGCTCATGGTATGGTAGATCACCAAGACTATGCAGTAAAAACTCTTAAGCACCAAACTGTAAGGAGCTTTGTCTGGATACATCAAGCCCCAACACCAAGTAACAGCTGACTTACAAAGAAAGGCCATTTTTTTTTCTCAAAGCTAAAATTTATTCTGTACAAGGTTCCACTGTACATTAGACATTCTGTTTTACTCTTGCTTACACAGTAAGCAAGTGTACACCAGCCCCTTGGCTCAGGTTTACAGGTCTCCCCTGGAGAAGGGGGTCAGGCCAGATAAACCTATGGGGTCTTCCCCTTAATGCACTGGAGTGCCTGCCTCAATCTGAGGAGCACAAGTTGATCCTGGGTCTGCTGGTGGGGAGGACCCATGGAGCTCAGTTCCTTGGGGCTGAATAATCTTCCTTTCCAGAGACCCAGTGGAGTTGTGTCCATCTATCTAAGGGCAGAACCAGGCCCTTGTTGGGGAGAAACACTAAAGGCTGAGGCAGCATGTCCCAAAGCACTCATGGCTGTGGCTCTCAGGATGGTACTAAAGACTAATGCCGAAAGGAGCCAAAGGGGCAGCATGGGTGTCCCTGAGAAACTCAGTCCAAGGGGCCTATGTCTGAGAAGCTCTGAGGGAAGGAGGGAATGGAAGGGAGGAAGGGAATAAATTAAAAGAAAAACTGGGAAAGGTGCCAGGGAAATGGTTTGTACTGTCCTTTAAATGCCTAGGAAGTGGAACCATAGATTGATTGGAGGAAGTGGGCAGGGAGAATCAGACACCTTGTCATGAGAGATGTTCTCCTCACCTACTTGCTTCTTCATCTCACTGCACTGTGAAGTAAGTCAGTGGTATAAGGACATAGTTCCTATTCCCCCAGCAAGGTTGAGCATGGCACTGGGGGAAGGGAAAACAAGGCAGAGGGATATATCTGGGAAGGGCATTCCCCTAGTCCCCAAATGCTGTAAGGCACAATTCTCAGAGGCAACTAGGATCCATCCAAAAAGCTCAAAAAAAAAAAAGAAACTTGTTAGATGCCAGTTCTATAATGGCTGTGCCCTGGGGCCCTGCTGACATGCCTGCCTAGCACCACTGGGGGCTATTGTTAGAAAAAGTTGTGCTTGACAAGTTAAAAAATAAAACCAACACAACTCCCCAGCTGCAGAGGCATATGGGAGAACATCTCCAGTCTGAGAACTCTGCTTGTAGTTGTTTGAAAAACAAAAAGAAAGAAAAAAGAAAATTGGGCTTTTAAAAACAAAAACTGCTTGTTTCAAAAAAAAATATCCCACAATCAGTTCCTCTGGAGTTAGCAGCGTCAGGAGGCCTCGTGGCTCACGTTGTGACTTCGGTAGGCTGGTGGTCCAGGATGGGGTCTCCTCTCTGCAGAGCCAGCGTGGCCAGGCACAGTCCTCCTAGTCAGGCTCCTGAGGGCGAGGTCTCGGTCTCCTCAGGTGGAGTTGGAGGCTGGAGACAGCAGCAAATGGATAAGGGCTTTCTCCCCACAACTGCTGTTATTTATTACACACATGGAAAACACAAATTTAAAAAAAGAAAACACGAGAAGCCCAGGGAGTGCCTTGGTGACTCCAGTCTCCGCATCCTCCTGCCTTCTCCCAGCCAGGTCTGGGTGAACCTTGGGAACGCCCAGCTCCTCTCTCCCGGCCCCTGACCAGGCTGTATAAACTCCTGCTCGGCAGCTTTATTTTAGTTTATTACTCTCTCTCTTTCGCTTTCATTTGCAGTTTCTTTTTTTTGTCCTTTTAAAAAAAACTTAGGATGTGGGGCTGCCACAGGGATGGGGAGGTGGACTGTGGCGCCCCTGCCGCTACATACGGGAGGGTGGACTGGCCAGTTCGTAAAAGAGCAAATAGGCATCGCTGCTTCGCACTTGGCTGGAGGACATGGGTGTGACGCTGTGGAGAAAGGAGGGACAGTCAGGGTCATGGTTAAGGGCTAGCCGAGGGACATCTCTGGAAAACTAGCACTCATATGGGGCAACTACTTTGCTACCACTAAAATTTTTTAACAGCCCCAAGGTCTTTGCTTGCTGAAATACAGAAACTCTGCTCCTCCTGGCCCCCCTACGCCTGCTAGGAGAGGGGGAGGGGCACACCTTTCCCAAGACCACTCACCTGGAGTCATTAAAAGTGTGCCATTCTCCTGTCACTGGACTCCGACAATAGGCAGTATAGTGGCCGCCCATGGTGGTTCCAGAGTGATTGGACACAGCATACAGGTTGTAAACAGCGTGGTCTAAACAAGTAAGTCCTGAGTCACACAGCAGAAAGGGGCACAAGGCTTCAAGCCCCTCAGGGTCTCAGCCACCCCTCGTTCCATCCTCTCTCCTGTTCTCGCTGGCTCTCAGTACTCCTCTCTTCTCTCACCTAAAGGTGGTAATGCTTCCCCCTCTCCCCTTCATTCCCACCCAAATTCTGTTAAGACACTCACTGGTGTTCTCTGAGGCAAATTCTCTCAAGTCCAGGTCTCTCAGTGGGAAGTTCACAAATGTTGTGAGTTTGCTGGTTCGTATCCTGGATTCTGAGAATCGCTTTAGATCTGGAATTGGTTTGAGTTAAGAGCAGAGAGGGTAGTATTTGTTCCTCAAACACTTACTGTCTACTAAGTAAATGGCACCGTGCTAAGTGCTGTATGAGAACAAAGTCCAAATAATGAATATAGGAATCCTAACTGAGCTTTCTTGTTTTTAATAAAGCAGAAAAATAGGCAAGAAAGAAGAAATAATAATAGCTAACATTTACATAGCACTTTTGTTGTGCCAGGCATAATGCTAAGTGCTTTACAATTAACATCTCCTTTGATCCTCACAATAGCCCTGGGAGGTAAGTGCTATTACGATTCCCATTTTATGGATGAGAAAACAGAGAGAAGTTAAGTGACTTTTCCAGGGTCACACTAGTAAATGTCTGAGGCCACATTTGAATTCAGGTCGTCCTAACTCAAGGTTTGGTGCTCCATCTACTGCACCACCTATTTGCCTCACACAATGAGGATTTCATTGTCCCATTCTTGTATCACCCTCACCTCCCCACAATTCAATCAGTCCATTTCATTACCCTTCACCCTCCGCCAAAATCAAGATGCCTATCTTGTTAGGCCCTAAGGATACGGAGCACCAAGATCTTTGGGAACTTCTGGATGGAGAATTTCTTTGTACACCTTTTTCTGGCTCTGCAGCGACAGCATGTCTGAAAAGCGTAAGAAATAGAAAGGATGAGTTGTGGGGAAAATCATAGGACTCAATGATAGTGAACCCCAGGGCTTGATCAGCTGAACACCAAGTAAACTAAGGTGTTAATAAAAAGGTGTTATTTGCCTATTGGGAAGGATCACTTACTGGCTTCTCATCTCCATCAAGCACATCCTCTTTGGTGAAGAGCCTCATGCAGTCCATCAAGGTTACCTCAGGATAGCCCCGCTAGGAGGATACAGAGCTAAGGTAAGAGGCCATGGAGAGGAAAGGATGGGAAGGGGAGTTTCAAAAGTAGGCTAGCAGCCAGAATTACCTTAGCAATGGGTAGGGAGAGGTCCCAGAAGGGGTCAAAGACGGTAGAGCAATAACCACACTCGGTACATGTCAGGGAGCTCTTGAGCTGCCCAACAAAGAGATCTGAGGGGAAAAGATGGAAGTGAGACACATTAGCAAGGAGGATAAGGACATGCAGTAATACACATTAGGTTATGTGCTCTCTTTTCAGTATCCTGATGGTACTGCTTCCAAGCACTAAATCCTGGGAAGGACAGTGATTTTCCCTTGGGAATCTCCATCCTCTTTTCCCAATTGCTCAGGTGCGAAGTGACAATAAAACTTGAAATCCCTCACAGATGATTTCCAGCACTCACCCCCAATTCGACTGTCTTCCCTTTCCAGATATTTCCTCCACATTTGTCGCCCTTTCTCCTCATCTCTGTGGTACCCAGAAAGAGAAAGATTAAACAATAATTGAGTTAAGGTTCAGATTCTGATAAGCTACAAGTGTAATAGAAGCACTGACCCAAAATGGCACTCAGATCTAATGTAGAATCTATCCTACTTTGGTTTTCTTGGTCATTTCACTGTCTTTTGCTTTTGTGGGGGAAGATGGAAGAACCCATTTTTTCTTTAAGTTTTTCTTTTTGCCCATTCTCCTCTCTCACTTACGGAAGATGATCGAGGTGGTCAGGGTTGGACTTAGGCCGTACTGTGACCCGGTTCACCTCATTGTGGAGTCCATCCAGAAGAAAACGAAGGAACTCCTGAGCATCCTGCTGACTAAAGGGAAAACAGTAAGGGGGAGGGGAGGGGGCGAGTAGGTCATACACATTTCCCCAGAGGTTCTCCACTGTCCCCTTCACCCACCCTGGGAAGAGACATCTCTCTGCAGAAGCCTTACTTATAGCCAACGAATCGGGGTGCAAATCTCTGGATCTGGGTCTTGAACTCTGATGGGCTCACCACATCATTAGCTGACGAAGTCCATATGGTCTGGATCAGTTTTGCGAATTCTATTGGGAAGAAAAGGTGTCTGAAAATGCCAGGACATAGAACAGTCCATTAAAGGTCTCTGAAACTGGGGCCCTAACCAAAGTAGGCAAATGCCAAAAAAAAAAAGGGAAAATGGCAGAGAACATGACCAAAGGGGAGACCAGAGAATAGCTAAAGCAGTTGTCATGGAAAGAAGAGAAAATGAATTTCCAGACAGCATGGGTTAACAGGACAACTGCCCAAAGATTCCTCACCCTCCATAAGGGCTGTATGTGCATGGCTGCTGCTGTTGAGGTCACGGAGGTAGAGCCTCTGGAGGCAATAATCTCTCAGCTCCCGGGTGTTGCTCAGGCACTGCAGGATTGAGTTCATGAAGCACTGAAAGAGATGACAGGAGCCATTACTGGGCAAAGCAGAGAGATAAGGTTTCTGTACACTATAAGCAAGGCTTGGGAATTGCATTCTCCACCCCCACCCCATAAGTGTTTCTGTTCATAGAATTTGTGCTTTAATTTATCAAGGAATAAAAATATCAATGTGCCAGGAAAATGGAATATTTAGGCATTAAAATATACATGTATAAATAACAGTATTAAAATGCATCCCTCACTGGGACTCCAACCCCCCCAACCCCAACGCCCACCAATGTGCTACGTCCTAGGCGGCTGCCTACCCTCAGCTCAGTCCGTAGGAGAGATGTGTGACCCCAGTCTAGAGTTCTAGCTTCCCTAGCATACAGTAACTCTTTGGTTTACCCCAGATATGAATCCTCCCACAACCTCAAGCTCCTCTTTTCATAAGTGCAAGGATTGTTGACCTGTAGTAAACTCCCTGTGTCAGCACAGGATGATGTAAAGAGTGATTTATTGCAGGGGTGTGCAACAGGGTGC